ATCTCAAGTTTGTGAATTATAAGTCCAAGGAGAGAACTTAGTTCTACTTTGTTAATGATCTTTTTGTTAATTTGCCTTCTAAATACTCATGTTTAGAGTCATCATTTTTTTTTAACCTCTCTCAACTTGGAGAAAGAAGTCTCCTCTTGCAGTTGGTAGTGGGTAATACAGAGACTCATAACTGTCAAGAAAGTACTAAGAACAGGCAACTGTGTTATACTGGGACAATTACTATTTCTTTATGGCTGAGAAAGGGTCCCACAAGTCTCCTTTACCGACATGAGTATCTACTGGCAGTTAAAGAAAGCTATATCATTTATTATTTTTTTATTGAGTAAATACTTCCCAATTTTCCTTAAGTAAGTCTAAATGAAATAAGGCATGGCATCAAGTTTTTTTTTTTATTGTATTGTTTTTTGATATGGGGTTTCTCTTTGTAGACTTGGTTGTCTTGGCATTTGGAATATGGGCCAGGCAGAACCTGGTCCCCCTGTTTCTGAACAGAGATTCTTCCTGTTTCTGCTTCTAGAGTGCTGACATTATTCACCACTTGCCAAGATCTCTTGTGGATTTCTAAGCTGTTTTTTCTTTCTGTTTTTTTTAAATAATTATTCCACATAACAATCCCAGTTCCTACTTTCTCCTGTCCTCCATGCCTCCCACAAACCCCCATGCCACCTCCATCCCACCCTTTCCACCATTGTTTAGATTCTTATTTGGGGTCATTGTTCCTGGATATTTCCCTAGTGCCAGATTTTCTTTAAACCTATAATGGCTCCCTCTATTAAATTAAGGCATCTCTTTTCTTGCTCTTCTCTATTCTTCCATAGATTTGATTTTTCTGAAATCTCATGTTCTCCTCCCCCTTCTTCTTCCTCCTCCTCCCCCATCCCCCATGTTCACAATTTTCTCAGGAGACCTTGGTGTTTTCCCCCTTATCCAGGAGTCCATGTATTTCTCTCTTAGGGTCCTCCTTGCTTCCTACCTTCTCTGGAGTTGTGGATTGTAGGCTGCTAATCGTTTGCTCTATGTCTAATATTCCCTTATGAGTGAGTATATACCATGCTTTCCTTTCTGTGTCTGGATTACCTCACTCAAGATTGTTTCCTCTAGTTCCATCCATTTGCCTGCGATATGGGGTTGGTGAAGATCTTTTCCCAGTCTGTGGGCTACCGTTTGGTCTTGTCAACTGTGCCCTTTGTCTTACAGAAGCTTCTCTGTTTCAGTAGGTCCCATTTATTAATTTCAATCTCAGTGTCTGTGCTACTGGTGTTTTGTTCGGAAACAATTCATTTAGGGATACCTCCCACTTTTTCTTCTAAGAGGTTCCGTGTAGCTGGATTTATGTTGAGGCCTTTGATCCATTTGGATTTAAGTTTTGTAATGCAGGGTTCTACACACCATCATCCAGTTGTGCCAGCACCATTTGTTGAAGATGCTTTCTTTTTTCCATTGTATGAGTTTAGATTCTTTGTCAAAAATCAGGTGTTTTTGGGTGTGTGGGTTAATATCAGAATTTTTGATTAGATTCCATTGGTCTACCTGTCTATTTTTGTGCCAATATCAAGCTGTTTTCAGGACTATAGATCTATAATAGAGCTTAAAATCAGGGATGGTGATGCCTCCAGAAGTTCCCTTTTTGTACAGGGTTGTTTTGGCTATCCTGGTTTTTTTCCATATAAAGTTGAGTATTATTTTTTTGGAGGTTTGTGAAGAATTATGCTGGGGTTTTGACGGGGATTGCATTGAATATGTAGATTGTTTTTGGTAAAATTGCTATTTTTACTATGTTGATCTTACCTATCCAAGAGCATGGGAGACCTTTCCTTTTTCTGGTACCTTCTTTAATTTTTTTCTTTAAAGACTCAATGTTTTGTCATACAGGTCTTCTCTTGTTTGGCTAGAGTTACCCCAAGATATTTTATGTTGTTTGTGGCTATTGTGCACAGTGATGTCTCTATGATTTCTTTCTGAGCCCATTCATCTTTTATATATAGGAGGGCTACTGATTTTTTGAGTTTATCTTGTATCCTGCTAGTTTGCTGAAGGTGTTTATCAGCTGTAGGGGTTCCCTGGTAGATATTTTTGGATTGCTTATGTAAACTATCATATCATCTGCAAATAGTGAAAGTTTGACTTCTTCCTTTCCAATTTGTATCTTCTTGATCTCCTTTTGTTGTCGTATTCCTCTAGCTATAATTACAATATTGAACAGATATGGAGAGAGTGAGCAACCTTGTCCTGTTCCTGATTTTAGAGAAATCTCATGTAGTTTGATGTTGGTTGTTGGTTTTCTATTTATGGCCTTTATTATGTTTAGGTATGTTCCTGTTATCCCTGATGTCTCCAAGATCTTTATCACCAATGGGTATTGGATTTTGTTGAAGGCTTTTTCAGTATCTAGTGAGATGATCATGTGGTTTTTGTTTTTTCAGTTTTTTTATATGGTGGGTTACACTGACAGATTTTCATATATTGAACCATCCCTGCATATAGGATAAAGCCTATTGATCATAGTGGATGATTTTTCTAATGTGTTCTTGGATTCGATTTGGCAGTATTTTAGTGAATACTTTTACATCAATATTTATGAGGGATGTTGGTCTGTAGTTCTCTTTGAGTTGTTGTGTGATTTGTGTACCAGAGTAATTGTAGCCTTGAAAAAAGTTTTTCAATGATCCTTCTGCTTCTACTGTGTGGAACAATTTGAGGAGTTTTGGTGTTAGCTCTTCTTCGAATTTCTGGTAGAATTCTGCACTGAAGCCATCTGGCCCTGAACTGGTTTTGGTTAGGAGGCTTTTGATGAATGCTTTTATTTCATTAGGAGTTATATGTCTATTTTAATTGCTTATCTGGTGTTGATTTAATTTTGGTAAGTGATATCTATCCAGAAAATTGTCCATTTCCTTTTTTCCATGTTCCCCTTTTCATTTCTGATTTTATTAATTTGCATGTTTTCTCTGCCCTTTGGTTAGTTTGGATAAAGGCTTGTCTATTTTGTTGATTTTCTTGAAGAACCAACTCTTTGTTTCATTGATTCTTAGTTTTTTGTTTGTTTGTTTCTACTTTATTGATTTCAGCTCTCAATTTAATTATTTCCTGGCATCTATTCCCCTGGCTGACTTTGCTTCTTTTTGTTCTAGAGCTTTCAGGTGTGCTGCTAAGTCTCTAGTGTGGGTATTCTCCAGTTTCTTCACGTGGGCATTTAGAGCTATGAGCTTTCTGCTTAGCACTGCTTTTAATGGGTCCCATGTGTTTGGATATGTTGTGTCTTCATTTTCATTGAATTCTAGAAACTCTTTAATTTCTTTATTTCTTCATTGCCTCAGGAATGATGAAATTGAGCATTGTTTAGTTTCCATGAGTTTGAAGGCTTTCTGCAATTTGTGTTTTTAAATTGTATCTTTAAACCATGGTGATCCAATAAGATACAGGGGGTTATTCCAATGTTTTGTATATGTTGAGGTTTGTTTTGTTGCCAAGTATGTGGTTGATTTTAGAGAAGGTTCCATGTGGTGCTGACAAGAAGGTATATATTTTTGTGTTTGGATGGGATGTTCTATAGATGTCTGTTAAACCCAACTGAGTCATCACCTCTGTTAGTTACTTTATTTCTTTGTTAACTTTCTGTCTGATGAGCCTGTCTAGTGATGATAGTAGGGTGTTGAAGTCTCCCACTGTAAGTGTGTGGGGTTTAATGTGTGATTTGACTTTTAGTAATGTTTCTTTTATGAATGTGGGTGCCTTTGTATTTGGGGTATAGATATTCAAAATTGAGACTTCATCTTGATGGAGTTTTTTTTTCCTGAGATGAATATGAAATCCCTTCTCCATCTGCTTTGATTAATTTTAGCTTGAAGTCTAATTTGTTAGATATTAGGATAGCTACACTGCTTTACTCTAAGGTAATGTCTGTCTTTGAAATTGAAGTGTGTTTCTTGTATGGAGTAGAAGGATGGATTCTGTATTTGTATCCATTCTGTTAGCTTTTGTGTTTTTATAGAAGAGTTAAGACCATTGATACTGAGGGATATTAATGACAATTGATTGTTGATTCTTGGTTGTTTTGGATTATCTGTTGTCAGTGGTATTGTGTGTGAATTCCCTCTCCTCTTTTGTCTTTTGGTGAGGTGGGATTATCTATTGCCTATGTTTTTGTGAATGTAGTTAACATCCTTGGGGAAGGGCATTTAAGGTAGCCTCTCCACTATTGCTTAAATTGTTAGTTGTGGAAATTTGGTTTTATGTTAGAATTTGAGCATTAGTTAAAGGACTTGCCAAATTGATTGCATTTTCTGGCTGTAGTTTCTAATGGATAACAAGACATAGATAGTATATATGGGACATATTAATGTGACTTTTCAGAAATGAGTTTTATGATGTAAAGCAGAAACAGAAGTCTTGCCACATTTTTCTTTCTGTTTTTGCCATTATTATTATTGTTATTATTTGAGACAGGATTATGCAGTCCCATAAGTCCTAGAATTTACTATTTAGACCAGGATGACATCGGCCTTACAGAGAGATCTTCTTGCCTCTGCCTTGAGTGCTGAGATCCACAGATAATGGTCTTATTATCAGTACTTGGATATTGAACAAGATAAGTTGTTTTCTTACAGATATTCTTTTGGGGCTGTAAAGGTGGTTTAGTGGGTAAGAGCATTGTTAGGTCTTCCAGACAACTAAAGTTCAATTTTCAACATATACAATAGCTCACAACTGTTTTTAACTAGACCCTCAGTGAAGATGATGCCGTCTTCTGGCCTCCAGAGACCTCAGACAAACTTGTAGTGAACTGGAATTCTTGCTGAAAAAGCACACATACACACAAAGCATAATCAATACAGTTACTATTGCAGAACTTTATTGGAATATTAATTCTGTGACAACTAATAAAACAAAAACTTCATTAAAGGCTTTCACAATTTCCTTATCCTTATATTTCTATTTTGTATACTTGAGATTAGTAAGTGGGGAATACCATATAAATGTCCTATGATTTACAATGGTGTTTTTTTCTGTTCAGTAGGAAGTCTCTGATGTCTTCTAAGATTTGAAAAGTGGATATAAGATATGCCAAAGTCTTGGCATTTGTGAAGTTTCTCTCCATTATGACTTTTCTGATGTATTCTAAGATATGAGCAGTTAGTATAAGATTTGTCACATTTGTTAGGTTTGTAATGTCTCTCTCCAGTGTGAGTCCTTGACGTGTTCTAAGATTTTTCATGTAGGCAAAGAATTTTTCACATTCCAGACATTTTTAAGGGTTCTCTCTAGTATGCACTCTCTGATGTGCTCTAAGACTTTTCATGTAGGCAAAGGATTTTTCACATTGCAGACATTTGTAAGGTTTCTCTCCAGTATGACCTATCTGATGTCTTTTAAGATATGATCTCTGAAAAAAAGACATGTCGCATTCTCCACATTTGTAAGGTTTCTCTGCAGTATGAATTTTCTGATGTTTTCTAAGATAGATGATTTTACTGAAAGATTTGTTGCATTCTCCACATTTGTAAGGTTTTACTACAGTATGACTTTTATGATGTTCTCGAAGATATGTTTGTGCAGTAAAAGATAAGCCACATTCTCCACATTTATAACGTTTCTCTCTATTGTGAATTCCCTGATGCCTTATGAGTGTTGTCTTCTCAGTAAAGGATTTGTCACAGTCCTTACATTTGTAAGGCTTCTCTCCAGTATGAATTCTCTGATGCTGTGTAAGGGTTGACTTGGTAGCAAAGGATTTATCACATTCCCTACATTTATACGGTTTCTCCCCAGTATGAAGTCTTTGATGTGTTTTCAGACTTGAGCACTGGGTAAAGAGTGTGTCACAAATGGTGCATTTGTAGGGTTTCTTCCCAGTATGAATTCTCTGATGCTTTGTAAGAGTTGACTTCAGAGTAAAGGACTTCTCACAGTCCTTACATGTGTAAGGCTTCTCCCCTCTATGAATTCTCTGATGAACAGTGAGGTTTGAGGCAGTCCTGAAGCATTTCTTGCATTTCCCACACTGGTATCCTTTCTCTCCAATGTAGATCGGTTGATGAAAAAGACTGCATTTAGTGTCCAAACAGTCATAATATTCTACCTTCCCATGCTCTTTCTTTGCAGTATAGAGTCTCTGATCTTGAGTAATATTGGAACACAAATTTAAAGATTTCCCACAGTCTTTAGAATTGCAAGGTTCTTCTCCAGTGTGCATGTTTTCATGTCTGTCTGGGTTTGCCGTGTCAATAGACACATCCCTGTGACTACTGCATCTATAGTCATTAGAGTTTTCTGTAGTTTCACTTGTTCTATAAAGTGCACATGTGGAGGGGTCATGAAGCACTTTGCCAAGCTCATTACACTGACAAGACTCCTCTTCAGTCTTCCCATGTTGATGGACAGGATCACATATGTAATAGTTCTCTGAAAAATGAATATGGTCATATTAATATGGCTTGCTACAGATTAAGCATTTTATAAGTGACTCTATGTTCTCTTTCAAAATAAGTCAACAAGCAACTACTTAGACGTTTTTTCTTTCACTATAATTGAATGTATTTTCACAAAACAGTATGGCAGCCTGGAGAGTCTATGGATCATAATAGATATCACATCCTTATAGAAAGTGTCTAATGATACAAGATGGATCAGGAAATTGAGGAATCAATAACTAGCCTTGTAACTGAGGTCATTGACTGATTACATTAAATCAGAAATGATGAAGAATTGTGTAATCCAATCCCAGGCTCACTGTATTTATACTTACTAAGTGTTAGGAAATGATGAGCACTGTTCAGAAGACCCAATACCTTTATGATTAAAGTATTAATTAAAAGCATCACAGGGCGAAGATTTTCTCTAGATAAACACATTGGATTCCTCAAAAGTAATAGAAGGAAAGACAGTATTTTGCCAGACACCATAGGCTCAGATCATTGGAGGCAGTGTTGCCATGGGCGCTATTGATTATAACTGTTCGCCATTGTCCGAGCTCCACACAGTTCTGTTTTTCCTAGCTTTCCTCCTAGGGTTATTCTCAAGTCCAGTTAGTACACCAACTCCTGAGAATATTTTCCAGAAGGGGGACTGTTGGTCTTCCACTGGGAAGACTATAAACATAGACAGCACGGAAGGCATTTAAAGAATAATCCTACTTCATGGACCCACCTGAGGTTTATAATTTATAAAATTATTCTAATCAGAAGTCAGAATAGCCAAATCAAATTGCATTTCATGCTATTACTGTCACCATAATTCAGGTGTAATAGGCACCTGTCCTAATATTTACAACAGGCAGGATGCATCCTAGGACCAGGATGCTACACTAAATTAAATGATCGGAAATTCTTTCAAGTTCAGCTGAATAGCCCAAAAATATTCTCAGGTCTTGCCTTTTCTTTCACAAGAAGCCATCACTGTTGGCTTGATCATCCCAAGCCCCATCCTCCCCTCTCTCATTCTCCCATTTCAGGGGAATCTTACTTGCTCCCAAAATTGATCAGGCCTACTTGCATACAGTAATCCACGTCTAACACTATATTGTGCTCAGCAAATGGAGAGAACATAAAGTGGAGGAATCTAGGAATGATTTCCTCTTATTCTTTCCTGTCAGATCTTTAGCAAATTTAAGGAAATTTTAAGTTTGCACATCTTGAGGTTTTTTTTTTTTCTCTGAATTAAAAACATGTCAGGTACAACTATGGACATGGAACTTTTAAGTTATGGGCATAAATATTTTCTGATATATCAGTTTCTGAATGCATTGTGGAATAAAAACGAGGGAAGCATGACACCTCTAACATTGAAAATGGAAAGAAAAAAAATCAAATACCATGTAGACGTTCTTTTCTACTACCAAAATTTCCCCTAGTCTCCTGCTATTCCTAAGACAGATTAACTCAGAGTTTACAACTTAAAATGTCAGTACATACAAAGGACTAGTTAGGAATTTAGAAACAAAATTTCTCACCTACATACACCAGGTTGCTGTAATTCTCCAACATCACATCAATGTACAAAGCCCTTTGAGCAGAGTCCAGGCATTGCCACTCCTCTTGTGAGAAGTCCACTTTCACATCCTTGAATGTCAGCTGACCCTGAAACAAAAAAGTTGCTTGACCACATGCTCACACAGAATGTTTTTGTAATTATAATTAGACTTAAGGAAACTAGGTTTATAGATGATGAAGACTATTACTCAAAAAGATGATTTTTTAATTTGGTCACATTCTATAAGGGATTTTCTAACTGTGAAAACAGTTTGACACAATAAGCTCACATGGAATATACATAAAACCACACACATTTAAGGCCTGGACATTGTTAGCTATTGTTATGGATGCTGTGTTTATGTCCCACAGGATCACAGTGTATACGTGTCAGAAGGAAAATTCATTATGAAGAAATAGGCTTTAATTGTTGAACCTGTAGATCATGTTAAAACACAGACACCGAATCAATCCTGTGTGGACTTGGGCCTTAAATGATTGTATTCCAAAAGGTTTAGTTTGTATGTTTGAACTATATGTCCAATTCCATTCCATTAAAGAGCAAAGTGGTAGATAAGGAAGGTAGAATTCATGGTTGAGTTCATAGGCAAGGAATTCTTTTTTTCTCAGGGTAACAGTGAGTGAAATAACTCTGCATACTGTCAATTTTATCATTAGTAAATGAGAACAGCTAATCTATGGATTTACTTTTATATGCATTTTTGAGCCACTACCAAGCAGATATGATCTAAAATTTTCCTAGTAAGATGGGAATATTCCCACTGAGTCCTAATAACAATTTCGGAAGTTTAGAAGACTATTTCATTTCTTAAGAAATATAACAGTTGAGGGAAGTCCTGTACATGATATTTGTTTATTCTGCATGGACAAGTGTCTATGTTTCTCATAACATATTTAAAATATTAAGAGCAGCAAAAAATTAATGACTTGCAATATCTGAACATAACTATTCCAGAAATATGGACATGACCACTGACCTGAGACATGTTTACTAGAGAATCAGTCATTTCTTTGTCTTCTTTGAGTTTCTTTTTTCAGTAACAATGAATAGACGGATGGCTTGCTGTCCTTTCATATAAGGGGTCAAAAAGAAATGGGAAAAATTAATGCGGAAAGCTGTTAGAGAACAATGTCAAATCACGTGAAAAGACCAAAGCAATCCAAACAACCAAATATGATAGGGTGCACTAGAGCCTGGAATGACATTAAAAGCTAAAAGAGAAAATCAGTACATCCAGAAAAAACAATCTATGTTAAAATTGATGTAAACATAAGCGTGTTTCAAGATAGTCTCAAATTAGCATAATTGATTTCACTAAAGCAGCTCTGCTGACAAAACCTAGAGGCAAAATTTACACAGGAGAACCAGAGAATTTACCAATGAGAATATGGGAAATGATACATTCCATGTGAATAATAGTAAATTCCTGGGAAATAAATGGGAAGTAATCATCTATGTTTTTCACACAGAAGGAAGAAAAATACTGCCAATAATCCAAGCAACAACATAAAAATGAAAGCATAGTGAGTAAAAATGCCTGCCATGAAAAAAAATCTAGCCCCTCTGGAAATAAAAATGGAGTATCCCCTCATAAATTTTCAGCTTATATAAATTCATCATATGGACACATCTGTTCCATTCCTTTGCATATTCTCAAAGGACTCAGGATCCTTCTCCACAGATACCTGTTCAGTCATATTCACTGTGGCTGTATTCACAATAGCTGCAGAATGGAAGCAAACTAAATGTCCTTGAACTGGATAAATGGATAGTGAAAACGTGGTACCTATGTGTCATTATGTAAATACTATTCAGTTGTAAAGAAAATTGAAATCATGAGCTTTGCAGCTAAATGAATGAACCCAGAAGAGACAAGATTGACTGATGGAACCCAGACTAAGAAGTACATTGCATGTTCTCTCTCATAGGAATTTCCTACCTCCAAATCTTCAGATGTGAGTACACAACCTGGAGTGACTTCAGTAACTACAGAAGTAAAAAGGAGACTCCGGTGTGGAGTGGGGGAATAATGGGCAGAAGAAAAACAGGAAACAATGGTCTAAAAAGTGTGAAATGGAATACGTGTGTGTGTGTGTGTGTGTGTGTGTGTGTGTGTGTTTAATGTTTAATGGAGAAGGGATAGACATGAACACAGAGGGAGAGAGAAAAAATAACAGTAAGGATGTCAGAAAATGTCTTAAGGATTCTATCTCTATATGTCTATAATACATCTAAGTCGCTAATTTCCCATTTTACCTCATGATGCTCCTCACAGGAGTCATAGATTTTCTAAAAAAAAAAAAAAAAAAAAAAAAAAAACAGCCACAGCAGCCTGCATTGATAATTAATCACAGCTGTCCTTGAGATTTCCAAAAGGTCATTTACAGGCTACTTGGTAATCCACATTTGCCTCCTCCCAGAAGTAGAAGGTGAGCCCCAATTGTTGAAGAAGCCATGTGATTCAATCACAACCAGGAGACTTGAGATGGACCAGAATTTAAAGTTTCCTCCCTGGGGACTAGTTTTCATGGTATCATAAAGCAACATGCAAGCTTTTAGAGGAGGGAGGCAGCATTCCTACCCAACTCTGATAATTATGAACCATAAATTGATCTGCACTGCATGATAACAGGAAGGGTGCAAGAGTGTCACACACGCATAGGTGGTAACCAACAGCTTCTAATTGAACTTAAGGCCTTCTCAACCATAAGAGACTCACTTCTGGTACTGAAAATGTAGTCTATTTCTGGGGGTTAGCTAACGATCTATCTTGGAGGAGAACCTAAAGCCACTATGCATGACTCACATTCATATTCATATAAAATTATTTGCCTCCTAGAGTCAATTCTCATGTAGAAAGCCTTCTCATAGCTATAGCAACATAATTCTGAGATCTTTCTCAGTGGAAGTCCGTGAAACAGAATGTGGCAAAACTGGATTCATGTCCTACCAGATCCTTAGCTACCGTCTCTTCCCTCTACACTTTCCAGGGCTATTTGTTTGGCTCCATAGGTGAGCGTATCTGTGTGATCAGTACCCCCAACATGAGCAAGAGATCATTTAGAAAGCACCTAGATCCCAAACTCAGTACTGTATTCAGTAGACAATGATACAGGATTCTACAAGTGATTCCCCAGTTGTAATGCAGAGTCATAACACTAAAAATACATAGAAAACCATTTTCCATTAATGTAACTTGGATGCCCCTTCCAATCACTTCTCAGCCAAATCTCAGGAGCAGAAATGGAACTGAATGAATGGGATCACCCAAAGCATACACTAATGAATCACACACTTTATCAATGACCAAATTTGGTGAAAGTCTTAAATATGCCAAAAGGAAATACACTTAACAAGTAATTTTCCAAGAAACACAGTGGAGGATCAAGGGAGACTGCACTCAGACTATTCTCACCCGCAGAAAGCAGACTGCTGCAATTTTGTACCATCCATTCCCAGTACAAAGCCCTCTAAGCAGGCTTCAGGCATTGATCTTCCTCCCGTGACATGTCCACAGTCACAACACTGATTGTCAACAGGCCACAAAATAAGACCTAACAGATTTTGTAGCCAGAATTCTAATTAGTCTTAATAAAGCCCGAGTCAGATATCAGGGTAAATACTGAAAAATCAGAAAAGGAGGCAACCTTAGTGAGTCTTCTTACCTCTATGAATCCTCAGGCCCAAAGAGTGAAATCCTGCCTCTGGGAACCCTTATAATAAATGGGCTGAGCTCCTGTCTCCTCTTTCTGCCCAGCCATATCACTTCCTGTTTCCACCTCCCAAAATCTCAGATTAGAGGTGTGTGACTCTCAGGTACTGAGATTAAAGGTGTGAGTTCCAGTTTCTCTTTTAGACTGATTGCCTTGAACTCCTGTTTCTTCACTCCAAGGTCTGGGATTAAGGGTGTGTGCCACCACTGCCTGGCCTCTATGGCTAACTAGGGGCTAATACTACACTCTGATTTTCAGGCAAGCTTTATTTGTTAGAACACAAACAAAATATCACTACAAGTTTGAACAGTTGTGTTGATGTACACCTTTAATCCTAGCTCTTTACAGAAACAGGTGGGCGGAACTTGTTGAAGTCCCCTTCATCCTGGTCTGAATAGTGAGGTCAGGTCCAGACAGAGCAACACTGTGAGTTCAGGTCTCAAGCACAGCAAACACAATAACTAAAAATAACAGTTTGTCATCTGTCCATGGACAGAGTGCTATGTTGTAGACATTTTCTAATGTAGCTGTGTTATAATAATTATTCAAAGGACGCTTTCTAATATTATCCTAAACTATGATACCTTCTCTTTTTCCTTTTTTCTCACCCACCCAGGGACATAGTTTCTCTGTGTAAACTTAACTTTCTTTAAGCTTCCTCTAGGGCAGGAAGGCTGGCAAGGAACTCCAAGATCCAACTGCTTTTGTTTCCCAGATGCTGGGATTAAATGTTTGTACCAACACCACCTGGTTTATAAGTCCTGTTACAACTGTGAAAATACGGTGATCTGATACCATGAAACAGATTACAGTGTTTTCCAGGCTCTAAGGTGCAACATGTAGGACACAATACAAGAAGACACATTTCTTTTCTTCTTCTTCTCTCTCTCTCTTCTGATACAAGGTCTCACCATTAGGTCCTGGCTGTCATGGAACTCGCTATGGAGAAGGGGCTAGCCAGCATCTCACTGAGATCCACCTAGCTTCTCCTCACTAGTGGTGGGTTCAGTGTTGTTTGCTACCAACACCTTTCACAACTCGGTATTCACATAAGAGAGTGCATATATCTCAGATGAAAAATTAACTCTGGGCAAAAATTTCAATTTCAAATGTCAGTGCTTACAACCATACCTGTGGAACTCACAGAAATTTTTATTTTGGATTCAGTTATATTTACAGGTTGGGAATGACAAATTAATATTTTTATGTGCCACTCTCTTGAATAAGGATTCGGTTTAACATGAAAGTGAGCATGGAGGAATGTAAATTTGAAGAACTTTGTGCTTTCTATGGCAGCAAAGAGAACTGATTGTAACTATCAACACATAAATTTAAATATTCTAGTAAG